TCTTCCCTTCCACAACTATAAATAGGGGTCTTCATAACTCAGAAAAGACACCAGAAGTTATAACAAGAAGCAAGAAAGAGCTCGTGGATCAAACGCTGCAAATTCCTCCACAAGTTTCAGGCTTCAAGTTCAAGTTCAAAAAATCAAGTGCAAGTTCAAGAACGAAGAACAAATCAAGGTCAAGTTCAAGTAATCAAGTTCAAGCTCAAGAACAAGATCATCGTTCGAGGCAACAAATACATATTCAAGATCAAGCTCAAAGGCCCTTGAATTTATTTACTATAGAAAAGTAGAATCAGAGGATTCATAGAGATTGTAACACTCAAATATTCGAAATAAAATACTACGATTGTTGCAATATTTTTTCGGTCTTGATTTTATTTTTTTGACGCAAATGTATTGTCTACAGTCGCATAAAATAATGCCGAATTTTCCTAATTTGGGTAACTAACAACAGTGTTTCACAGGAAAATATTATCATAAAAGACAAAAATATATTATCATAGGATGAGCTAGAGATATCTTTTGTTGAGGCAATTTAAGATGTTTCAAAACATCTGCTTCATTGCTCGTCTTTATAACTTAGACAGTCAATATTTGGGCCGATACGGATGGGCTAATATTCTTGTCTATCAATGAACGGTGGATTTACACAAATAGCCCTTTTTTCAGGCCATATGCTGGTCAATAGTCATCTTAATCAAGTCAAACTGATAAAACTAAATGGGAACTTTACACCGTATACCCCTCTAAAGACCCCTTGCCTTAACACTATATACTTCAGTTATAAAATTACATATAGTACACATTAATTAATAAATTCATATATTCAATTAGTCAAAGGACAATAACTACCTTGCAAATTTGTCGCCTAAACTAAAGGAAATTAAATGTACGAAGCAAATTCAAAATCTTACTACATCCATTTTAAACTTGGACATAAAATTAAAGAATAAAAAAATATTATCCATTAAATTAAATAATTTTTTATTATTATGGGAACCTTTGTCCTTATTTTTTTGTATACAATAAAAATTATACAGTAAACTAGTCATTGTATACTATTAAAGTATGTTAATATTCCAATTAAAACAATATATACACAATAAATAAAATAAAAGTATGTTTGATTTAAATATTATATTCAAATTAGAATACTGCGCTATATTTAATTTGAATATTGTATTCCAAATTAGAATATTGTGGTATATTTAGTTTGAATACTGTATTTCAAATTAGAATTTTGTGATATGTTTGATTTTGAACATTGTATTCTTTATTAGAATATTATGGTATGATGGTTTGAATACTATATTCTTCATTAATCTATTGTAATTTATTATGTTTAATTTGGTTTAAATAATATATTCCACATTAAAATATTGTGGTATGTTTTGTTTGAATATTGTATTCTATTAGAAAATTGTGGTATGTTTAGTTTGAATATTATATTTCAAATTAGAATATTATTGCATGTTTGATTTGAATATTGTATTTTTCATTAGAATATTGTAGTGTATATATTAGTTTGAATACTAGTATATTCTAATATTTCTATTAGTTTTAATATTAGTATATTCTAATATTTCTTTTAGTTTAGATATTGTATCCCGAATTAAAATATTTTTACGTTATTTTAACTTTTATTTTGATTACATAGATACAACAACAACAACAACAACCCAGTATAATCCCACTTAGTGGGGTCTGAGGAGGGTAGTGTGTACGCAAACCTTACCCCTACCCTGGGGTAGAGAGGCTGTTTCCAAATAGACCCCCGGCATCCTTCCCTCCAAGAACTTCCCACCTTGCTATTGGGGAGACTCGAACTCACAACCTCTTGGTTGGAAGTGGAGGTTGTTTACCATCAGAGCAGCCCCTCTTGTACTTTTAGAAAGATAGAAGAGAAAAATAAAAAAAAATGTAAAGAAGTATTGTCTTGTACATAATAACTGCTCCATTTTCATATTCTTCTTCCTTCTGCGTCCCCATATCATAAACAAGAATAGAGAAGGTTGTTTATCTAGAACAAGAGAAATTATTAGGGTTCGATTTTTTTTTGGTGAAAATGTATAATTCTAATTTCGTGGGATGATGGAGTATTCTAAGGAATTTATTAAGTTGGAGTGAAAGATAATCTAATCCCTTAAAAGGTGGGATATATTTAATGGCATATAATGATATTAAAGATTTAAGAAGTAATTAAAGTTTTATAAAGTAGGTATAGAATGTAAAATAAATATTTTAAAGTATATGGAGTTAACTGGCATTTTTAATGGGTAGACCACGTAGATTAATCTACACGGTATGCCCACAAGAAATGCTAGTTAACTCCATATACCTTTGAAATATTTATTTTACTTTGTATACCTATTTTCTAAAAGTTTATTACTTTTTAAACTTTTAATATCATTATATGCCATTAAATAAATCTCACTTTTTAAGGAACTAAATTATCTCTCACTCCAACTTAATAAATCCCTTAAAATACTCCATCATCCCATGTTTTAAGGAATTGAAATTATACATGTTCACCAAAAAGTTCACCCGAGTAATATCTCTATGAAGTCCTCCATAATCGTTTTCTTCTCTTTCATCTATGTAATCAAAAGAAAAATAAAATAACGTGACAATGTTCTAATTTGGGATTTAATATATAAACTAAAATAAAATATTAGAATATGCTATTCAAACCAATACACCACAATATCCTAATAAAAAATACATTATTCAAATCAAACAACGATGATATTCCAATTTGGAATATTCAAATCAAACATAATACAATATTCTAATTTGGAATATAATATTCAAATCAAACATACCACAATATTCTAATTTAGAATACAGTATTCAAACCAGATTTTTCCAAATTAAAAAATTATAGAATATTTGGTTTGTATATTGTATTCCAAACTAAAATATTATTTGAATATTGTATTCCAAATTAGAATATTATAGTATGTTCTGTTTGAATATAGTATTCCAAATTAGAATATTATGGCATATTTAGTTTGAATGTTGTATTCCAAATTAGAATATTATAGTATTTGAATAATATATTACAAATTAAAATATTATGGCATATTAGTTTGAATAATATATTCTAAACTAGAATATTGTAATATGCTTGGTTTAGATAGCATACTTGTCATTAGAACATTGTGATATATTCGATTTGAATTGTATTTCAAATTAGAATATTATAGTATTTGAATAATATATTCTAAACTAGAATATTGTAATATGCTTGGTTTAGATAGCATACTTGTCATTAGAACATTGTGATATATTCGATTTGAATTGTATTTCAAATTAGAATATTATGATATTTTCAAAATATATTGGAAGATTTGAAAGTATAGAATATACAATATCAAAAATAAAGTTCTGATGGAAAATAGGAATATGGTTTAATTAGGGGAGATGTGAATCTCAAAATTCATTGAGTACAGGTTTCAATAATTACAACTACATTTAAGGGATATTATTCCCTTATTAATAGTGGTTGTTATACACATAAGATTCTCTATCAAATTATACGTTGTAATTTCTTTATAGGTATATGGTGTAACTTTCATAATTAAGGTATAATCCGTCGTTTTTGTTCAAGAACAAACCCTAATTTCTGGCGAATCCGTCGTTCACCGAAAGCCGGTAGTGAAAAGGGTTCCCAAATAGGTCGTTGGCTCAGACAGTGTTGAAAAGGAAGATCAGGGTTCCCAAATTACGTTGTTTCTTCAAGGATACAAGGAAGAAAGTATTATACAGAAACGTATCACTTCAGATTCTTATAAGGCTTTCATAGACTAATAGGTCCACTTTGGTAAACGTCAATCCCAATCTGACCGAGATAAGTTGCTTGAGAAATCTTTGAAAACGCGCCGCCTTGGTCTGGCGATGGTGCCAGAGCCGTTCAGAATGATCCACAAAAATACTATTGTATAATTTTGTTGAAATCTGAAGACATTACAAGTGAATTTGACGGCAACTTGGCAAGGTGGATCTGCGACTGCCTATAATATATAAGAAATTAGACAATTAGATCTGAACGACGGCCAGAATAATAATTCAATCAAACCACAAAAAAATGAGAAAAGAATTACAGGAACAGATCCGAAAACATTCTGATTATCAATTACGGTGTAATGACATTCGGATGGGTGCAGTTGAAGATGGCGAATTGATAAAGAGGAAACTTACTGCTTTCATTATTGAATAGCGTATCAAACTAGAGAGAGAAAGAAAATAGTGTAACTGAATAGCGTATTTAGTGGCTTAGGGGTAGGAAGTAACCAAAATTAAATATTTTGCTATAAACAGTAAAAGGTATCTATAGAATATAATTTTTTTTGAATGGTATTTATTTAAAATAAATAAGGTGTTAGCCTTTGCTATATGGGGTAAAAATTCCTTAAATAAAACTAGAAGAATGGTGGCCCGTGCCAACATACTAATATTAATGTGAAGAATTAACTCAAATAGCTAAAATAATACGACCAATACAGCTTAGTGATATTTTTCAGAGTTATTTTAAGGTAGTATTAATAATAATACAGCTAAAATAATTAACTACACTTGGCCAAAAAACTGTATATTAAATATGTGCAGAAATGACCTCTTCTTGAAGACGGACGAAGTAGAGTACAATATGTGCTAAAGGCACAACTATGTTGATTAAATAAAGTATCCAAGACTATTGAGCATGTCTGCATTTTCGAACTCATCACAACCTGAATTCATCAGTTCCTATGAGGAAGAGCTATAGCTCTCAGCTTAGTAGCCAACATTTTGCCATTCCAAAAACCACAACATAGGGAGAAGTTTTAGAATACCTTCAAAAGGCAAGGGAGCAGATGATGCTCCAATTAGAATGTATAATCGTCTTGTTTACTCAGACTTGAGACGATGTAAGAGAGGATAAACTTTTTAAAGTGTTCTTAAATGCTTGAATTATCAGATTAATCAAAGAGCAGAAGCATGCAATTGACTTAACCTTTGTACTCTAGAAAGGGACAACCTTTCTCAGCATTTTTTCCAAATTCCAGAATATGAAGTGTTGTAATAGGTTCAGTACCCTAAGTAAATATCCTCTCTTGTTGTCTTTTTTTCTTTTCCTAACTAATATTAGGTTAATAATATATCTCTTAAGTGTTGCATATTTTTTTTCAAACATATTCTGGTATTCATAGACTTAATCATATGGATGTGAAATATTTCCCAACCTAAGAAGCAGAGTGCGCTGTACAGAATTTGATACGCTATTTGGTTTGGCAAAACATTACTTTTAATCACATAAAGGTTACTTTTGAGCAGCGATTCTGAGCTTATGCATATATACCATATTTGAAAACTTAACATATATAAAGTTCTCATTACTGAAATATCTAACTTTAGTTCCATTAATAGGATTATGAACTTAACACATGTGTGTGCCTAAAAAATTAAACACATTCTCAAGTACCAATCTCTTTGCATTAAAGTTTTGCATCGAATACCAAAATGAAGCAACAAAATTCAATGGAAATAGCAACAGCAAAACCTGCAACTCAATTGATACCAACAACTGAAAACTCTTCAACTATCAAGACACCTCTATTAGTTAATCAGTAAACCATTATTAAAGTTGTTGATGTTTTTCTGCGGATTACTTGCTCGTTGGCTCTAACAGTGCAACACCCTCATTTTTTTCTTCAACTTCTCATCATCAAGTGTAACTAAATAGAAATTATATTTCCGAACTGAAATTTAAATTGGAACAAAAGTACTTGGAATGAATTGAAAAATTGACAAAGTGACCAAGATTACCTCCGGTGCTTTCACCAATACTGAATAGCGCAGCTTCTGGGATTTTTCACCTTTTCACTCTTGGCCTCCTATGAGATCTCAACATTTTTTAAACTCTATCTGAGTACAGAAAATCCTGTTGTATGTGCAAGACAACAAAGACCTGTTGCTTTATATAGCCATTATTGGAGAAATGAACACATAGCGAATAGAAGTTTCTTCACTTATAACAAATAAAAAAATTCCAGATAATAATTTAATTTTTATACTTGAGAGTGTCCCAGAGAAGAACTTGTTTACACCAGGCATGTCAAATTGTTAAAATTCCTCAATTTGATGAGAAAATTTCTTCCGGTCCAAAGATCATTTTAGATAGGTTCTGAAACATAATTAAGATAGTAAGCAAAGCCAATTAGAAATCAGTAATGCAGCATATACAACTTAGCTTCGTGATATTACCCATATGCATCTGGCACTGGTTTCTTGCTTATAAGGAAGTTGGATTACTTAATCAAATCTTTCATTAAAAAGAAGGCCATCTTTTATTCTATTCTCTATAAAAGATGCAGATACAGGGAGTAACGAAAATTTACATAAAAATTGTTTCTGTTGAACATAATTTAAAAGAAAATGGATTGTTAGTAAATCTAAAACATTGAGGTACCAATTACTTTCAAAATCAGCGTAACTGTCGTCCTTATTTCTTAATGACTGATCACCATCACTACAAAGCGCCTTTGTACCCTGCATCAAGTCATTACCAATAGAAAATAACTTAAAGTTATTCCAAGACAGAGCAATCTAAGAAATCATGATTTTTGCATAATGTTCCATAATCTGTTGTGCCGGAAAAAGGAAAGAACAAAGAACATTTTGCATGATTTTTGCAGTCTTAAATACTCCTTAACTTCAAAGAAGAAAAGTAGAACAACCAACCAAACAACAAAGTAAAGTAAAAATATTGAGTGTGAATGAACAATAACAAAGATCCCATATTGTTGACCAAATCAAAGAAAATAGAACATCAATAAGAGGTAATTAACAATCATAACTTGCATCTTTAGTTTGTGCAAGACGGTAAGAGCCAACATAAGGCTTGAATTGTAGCCCCAGAGGTTAGATAAATTGACTTTCTTCTGGAAAAGTCCTTGCTCAGCTAGCCACTCCTTGAGATTTCTCTGTTGCAGCCCAAATAGGATAAAGACAACAGAATAGTCCGAATAAGATGACTCAGACATATATCATAATTCATCAAACACATGGGTAATAACAAACATTTTTATACCTTAAATTTTCCATTGGTAACGAACACAAAATTCGTCAAAGAGACATATATAATGCATGTGTAAATCAGGTAAAATTACCAACATGTACATAAGAATTCAAGCAAAAAATCATGTTTACAAAAAAAAGAATTGAAAATTAACATTACCAATAACAATAGTGCAAGTTATTGGTAAGACTTATTTGTACTGATATCATTGGTGATTCAATTTATTTACCCTCACTTCAATTTCCGCTTTACTTCCACTTCTGATTCTTCTCATTTGTTTTTTAGTCCGTCCTTTCTCTTTCTCTTTCTCTGCCAGTTTGACATTTTGATATCTTCTTTGTTATTCATTCTCTCAGCAAAAAGTTATTAATTTCCCTAAATTGGTTTGCACTTCTGGATCGCACCTGATCTCAACCTCTAACTCCTTCCCCGTGTTCTCTTTGAGCAAGGAGTCGTTCTCCTTATCCAATATGAAACCTTTTCGATCAGGATAAGGAGATATTACTTTTGTCAAGTTAGGTTTATCTCTTTCATGTGCATCCCACATGCTTAAGTCTATTCGTATTTGTGGTTCACTGGGATGGACCTCGTTGATGTCTGAGTTACCTTGTCAGTCTTCAAAACTAACATTTACTTGGGCCACCATGTTGGATCGGGTCGTATGATCTCGGCATGATTTGCGCATGATTGAATTGATTGCTTTAAAATTTATAATAAATAATATTTCCTCATTGGCCTGAGATAAGCTGTTAAAAGATGAGAAATGAATTTGGAGATTTCTTAATTTTAAAAGAATTGTTTACTTACTTCAAAATAATGAGCTTACAGCCGTTATATATATA